AAACTTTGCCGCAAGCAGAACTTGATTAGTTCATGAAATTACAATCATGTATGTTTTCCGTTCAGCGTCCCAAGTAGCAAAACATGCTATAAATATCCTTTGACACTAAATAACGCTGGCGTTTAATTTCATCCCTGGTTCATGTTTTAGTTTCACTCCTGGTTCGTGCTCACTGACCGCCTACAAACTGACCCCCTCGGGTTATGACTGGGGCCGGAACAACAAAGACACCGGGAACAATCCCAGGGGTTACCTCCCGTCACACTACGAGAAAGTACAGATGTTACTGTCGGATCGTTTTCTTGGTTTCTTCATGGTACCCACCCAAGGTTCCTGGAACTTCAACTTTATGGGTGAGTTTTGGCTGAATTCTAATTGTTGTCTAGAGATTGGACTCCACAAAAACACGAAAATGCGCCATTTGTGTGGGCTCAGAAATGCCATCCTAACGTTTCTGAAGGTGATCTACAAGGTGTAAGAATTTGTGACTGTAAAGGGAGTCGATGGTTAAGTCTGTATACGAGCTGTGCAGTGACTTAACGTTGTCCTTGAAGGCAAGACAGTTATTGCTTTTGTCATGGTCAGATATCAGTTTTAACAGCCTGATTTTCTGGTTTTACAGGTGTTCGCCACTCCCCTAACATGCGTTACGAACTCCAGCTGTCCAATCCCAAAGAGTTCTACCACGAAGTACACCGCCCCTCTCACTTCCTTAACTTCAGCACCATGGAAGATGTGGAAGTTATCGGCGCTGATAGAGATGACATGTTCTCGTAACTTGTCAGCAATTTTTTTCGTATCAATCACGTATTCAGTCTTGACAACTGACCATTGTAAAAAGAGGTTTCTTCAGTTAGACTTCCAAAGCAGGGGGGAGGGGGTGGGGTGGGCATTCCCATGAGTCACAGACAAAGCTCTGATTACCGCTGCAAAAAAGGCGGCAACCCCAGTAACCACAGCGACCGTCTCCCCTGAATTCCCTCGCGATAAACTGCCACAACCAACGCCATTTTCCTCTGTAAAAAGTGCGAGCTATTGTTGTCACTGCATCAGCAGGTTTTGCACAAAGTTTCAATGTGGCATGTCGGTGTTCTTTGCCTTAACGACCATCATGGACAACTTAGCATTCTGTTTAGGCCAACAGCCATCTGAGATTACATCTTTACTTTAAGTAACTAACATTACAACTGCTGCAATTCGTTTCTTTAATATTTCCCGTCAGCTCAAATCAAACAAGCCTTG